AACACTATAATTAAAATCATGGATTCTTCTACTGTCTTCCATATTTATTGCTCACATACATGCAAGTGAGACAACTGAAAATGCCTTGGTTGGATCAGGAGCACCTTAGTAATCAAACTGACATCTTTGCTCTTAAAACATTTTTAAGGTATCTTCAGCAGCATATTTTCCCAATGTAATAGTCATTTGATTTTTTGACTGATGCTTCCATGAGTGTTGACTGTGGATCCAAGCAAAATGAAATCCTTGACAACTTATTTCTTTTCTCCATTTATCATGCTGTTATTTATTGGTCAGTTGTGAGGATTTTCGTTTTCTTTACATTGGAGTGTAATCCATACTGAAGGCTGTAGTCATTCATCTTCATCAGTAAGTATTTTACGTTCTCTTCATTTCCAGCAAGCAAGGTTGTGTTATCTGCATTAACAGGTTGTTAATGAGTCTTCCTCCAATCCTGATGCCAAATTATGTAATATAGCTTCTTGGGCTATTATGCTCAATATACAGATTGAATAAGTATGGTGAAAAAACAGAAGAACCCGGAGCACACTGTTCCTGATTTTAAACTGCTCAGTCGACCAAGAGGCAGATGTTTGAACAAAACAAGGGAATACTGAGTAGTTTAAAATCAGGAAAGGTGTATGTTAGGGTTCTAGCCTTTCACCATACTTATTCAATACGTATGCTAATTTATTACTTGCATGTGCTATTAATACTGTTTGATGATGTTTCTGTTGGGACACCATTCTCTGGAATGGGCACAAATATGGATCTCTTCAAGTCATTTGGCCAGAAAGCTGTCTTCCAAATTTCTTGCCATAGGTAAGTGAGCACCTCCAGTGTAGCATCAGTTTGCTGAAACATTTCAATTTGTATTCTATCAAATCTTGGAGCTTTTTTTTTTTTTTTTTTTTTGTGCCAATGTCTTCAGTGCAGCTTGGACTTCTTCCTTCAATATCAATGATTCTTGATCATATGGTACCTCTTGAAATGACTGGACATCAACCAGATTTTTTTTTTTTTTTTGGTACACTGACTCGGTATAGTCCATTCATCTTCTTTTAATACTCCCTGCACCAATATTCAATATTCTGTCCATTGTTGTTAAGTGCCCTTGAGTCAGTTCCAACTCATAGTGACCCTGTATAGGGTTTCTGGGGAGTGGCTAATTAGTTTGAACAACCAACCTTGTGGTTGTTCTTCTTATTGTTAAGTGCCTTCAAGTCAGTTCTGACCCATAGTGACCGTGTATAGGGTTTCCAAGGAGTGGCTGGTGAACTTGAACTGTCGACCTTGCGGTTCAAACCGATTTTGCAGTCCAGCATGTTAACCCACAGCACCACACCAGAACTCCAACCTTGTGATTAGCACTGCAGTATTTATCCTACAGCACTGTACCCATGAATGAAGATCTCAAAAGCTTTGCTCCAATCACAACATAAATGTCAGCTCTACTTTGTGGAGGTAATTGTATTTTAAGTGCCTTCAAACTTGAGGGGCTCATCTTCCAGCACTGTATCTGACAATGTTCCCCTGCTAATCATAAGATTTTACGTCGTTAACCATTCAGAGGTGGCCTATCTCACGTTCTTCCTAGTCTGTCTTAATCTGGAAATTCTGCTGCACCCTGTCCATTATGGGTGACCCTGCTGGTACTTAAAACACCATTGCATAGCTTCCAATATAACAGCTACACACAGGCCACCACAGTATGCCCAACTGACTAAAGGATCCATATATATCTATCTTCCTAAAATGTCACTCTTACCTATTTTATAAACATTTATTAAGCATGTTATATACATAACACTTTAAATATGAAACTAAGACAGACCTTTGATTTCAAAGAGCTTCAATCTAAAAAGAAAGATACTCCCATGAGCTGAACCCCTAGCCAACTGCCAGTATAGTCCATAGCTCCCATCTCCCCATCTTAGAAAATGGCGGCAACGTCTGTCCAGTTGCTTGAAATTCAAATGTACAAATTATCCTTGATTCCTCTTTTTTAATCACACTCTACCTACAGTGCCATCAATTAGTTCTGCTCACTCTACAATTTAAATTCATGTTTCTCCACCAGTATGGCTACCATCCAGATTCAAGCCACCATCTTTCACTTGGGATAAGAAAATAGTTTCCTAAAGGATCTTTTGATTCCACTCTCGGCTCCCTATACTACATTCACCAAAGAACATACATGGTAACATTTATAGTAAATACGTCTTTAGATCACTCTACTGCTTAAAACCCTCCAATGGTTTCTAGCACTTTTAGAAGACAAACTCTTTCCAGCAACCTAAAGACTCTATGTTAGCTGGCCACTGAGTACTTTTCAACCTCATTTTACATCGCTTTTGTTCTACCTCTTTCTCTTCTTAAATACAGTAAGCTCATTTTGAAGTCACTGTGCTTGCTTTTCATCTGCTTAAACATACTCTCCTTTTCCATTCCACAAGTGTCACTTCATTCAAGTTTCAAATCAAATGATTCCTCCTCTGGAACCTTCTCCTGGCCACTCCATCCATCAAATACTGCACCTAATACTGTCCTGCTAGTCCACTTAATTTTCATTTTACTTTCACTTTCTAAATTTATCTTTGAATTGCTTATGTATTGCTTCTCTTCTCTAACAAGCAAACTAACCTTGTCAGTGACATTGGCAATGAAGCTTCCTACACTCGAATCAGGCCTGGTTCAAGGATGCACTGCCCAGTAAGGACGTGTTGATAGATGAATGTACATCACAAAGAAGAGCAAAACCAGATGATTGAAATGGAGCAATCCATAAGTAAAGAAGGGGCATTTCTGATTAGGGTAAGGTGAGGTGCTATTGAGAATGACCTCTGAAGAACAGAGTATCTGTACTAGGATCAGGAGAACAAGTAGCATTCCTGCTGTGGAAAACGCAGAGGAAATTCCCAAAGGCATGAGCCAATCTAGGATGTGTCTGAGCAGTAACAACTGTATGTGAAATTGCTAGTTCCCAGCATGGGAGGAGGGCTGTACTGAGTATGTACACGTAGGCAGAGTTGGAACTTTAGTTTTTAGACCATGGAGCGTCATTGTAATGTTCTGAGAATGAAAACTGGTACAAATCTGACCCACATTTTATAAACACAGAAAAACTATTGCAACTTAAAATCCAACAAACCAACAACCAAAAATAGTATCATTTTTAAGTGAGCTACCTATTTTCCTGTGTTTGGGTTAGAAACAAGGACTTAGATCTGCAAATGCAAGAGAAAGAGAAGCCTGTAATTGTACTAGAAGAAAACTTGACTACAAATCATATTTTAGTTTTCAAAGATAGTGACCAGCAACATTCCAGTTCCTAATCATTTCTAAGTACAAGGCACTGCCACTGAGAAGAATGCAGCTTAGAGTACCTGGATTTCAGAATTGGAACTGGGTCCTGAGCCTGGAGGTAGTTTCAAGCATGCACTTTTCATGTTACAGAAAAATTTAATCAGATAAATATTATTTAACAGATGGAATTATAGTACTTAAAATGAAACTAACTCTAATGACATACATATTATATGAAATGTAAACATAACCAGTTTGTGAAAGATTCATTTTCAGTCACTACAAAAGACAGTTGCTAACACGATTTTAAGGAATTAGACCTATAGCAAAACACGCCTTTCAAAGTAGGGATAATCCAGTTGCTCTGGAAGTGTTCTCGCTTTTCAAGGGTCTTATCAAAATGGTTTGTTGTAAGGCAGATTTATTTAATGTGCACGACTCTCCTCAATGACAAGATGGAGAAGGCTGGATGATAAGACAACACGAGGGAGAAAAGGGCTTGTGCTTCCAGAAGTCCTGTAAGGAGGGCTAGGGACCAGGAGTCTGTCTGCAGCCCATGTGTTGGTTACACTAGCTGCTGTTTTTTTCACCCCAGTTCAAGAAAGGTAAAGGACCTGGGCCTCAGCTTGTTCCTTTATAAAATGAGGAACACAGAAGTAAGTTTGAAAATTCTATAATGAAGAAATTTCTTACAGGTATTTATTTGCTTTAGACAAACCAGAACTGAAGGAGTGAGTTGGTTCGAGGTGCTGAGCTGGAGGCCACAGGCCTAGAGCTACCCACAAGTCTGTCTAAGTTAGCATCTAGCTTGAAGGACGGCAGGCTTGGAGCATGGTCAAGATCAAGGGTTTCAGAATGGCAAAGACCTGGACTCCTATCATAGCTCTACCTACGTACGTAAAGTAGGGGTAGGGCTGTTGTGAGAAGTAAGACAGATAACAAACGTGAGGTACTTATACAGTATCTGGTATACAGCAACTACTAAGTAAATGGCAGTTCTAGAAAAGTTCCTTTTCACTTCCTCGGCTAGTAGATTTACCTCTATTGTTTTAGATCAGATCCTCCTAGTAAAAATGATAAAATTATGGAATCTCATAAAACTGGAAAGGACCCTGAAAGTCTTGTCATTCAGTTCCCTGCTTTCAGACATTTTCATTATCACTGTGATTTTATAATGAAGCCATCAAGGACCTGAGTACTTAAGCTGGCCACTCAAGGTCAGCAGTCATTAAGTCCATTTATAAAATGTTCTTCTGTGTCCTCAGTTGTCCCCTAGTGTGTGCAGGGAGTGAACATAATTCTCTGGGATACTTGACACTCAAGATTCAAGGCTACCTCTACTACATACAGTTTATAAAATGAGCCAGAAGGAGAGTGCAATGAATAATCAAAGTGACAACTAGATATTAGGCAGTGATGAAATGATAATGAAGCTTGTGGCAACCCATACTAATGCTTATTGTGATGTTAAATGAAAAAGCAGAATACAGATCTTATTCATGTTGTGATTATAACCAAGTAAAATTATGTAAATACATAGCAAGGACTGGAAAGGAACTTCGAAAATGACTAAGGCTGATTGGATAAGGAGGAACAACTGCAGTTCATTTTTATTGCGTGATTATTATGTTGTTGGCACAAGAAACATTACAAAAGAAATAATGACAGGGAAGGAGCTGGTGCTGTTCACTTACCCGGGGTTATACAACATGACTGCAGAGAGGTTCTCACAAGACTTGGAGAGGTCAGTCATCGATAAGCTGAAGGAGGACAGAAGGCCACTCTAAGAGCAGAGCACAAGGCAGAGCTGTTAAGTTTCCTGGACAAGAGAATGCCAGTGCGCTTATCTCACTAACTGTGAGGGTGAGGGGCAATGATACTACTCAGTCCCAAACCCTAAACTAAGCACAGCAGGGCTCTCATATTCTAGGGCTGTGGAGACCCACCAGGAATGGCAGGGCCCCGCTACTCTTCCTCACCAGCTGGTAACAAGTCAGGACCTCTAAGTCACCCTAAGATCCTGACAAACAGCAGACTCCGGCTGGCAACACTCAGTCACTCAATTACACTTACTGAGTGGTAAAGATGAAGGAGAAGGAGATCAAGGAAAACCAATAAGTAAGAGCTAGACCTGTTTTCTCCCACAGAAAGCTACTGGTAACTACATTTTCTCTTTTTTCTCTCTTTCTGCAACTGTGTACCAAAAAGGACCCTCCAGGGAGATGCTGGGCTGGAACAAGTAAGAGGCTTTAGTGGCTTGACCTGAGCAGTTCAGAGAAGGCTGGGGTTTGCAGCAGTCTCATGACTCCCATCTAAGGCACTGGTGACCTCAAACAGCCCTTTACATGCAGGCCTAGAGGAGAGGCTGGATAACTGAGTGCTAGAGTCTAATGTCTGCTGCTGGCAGGTCAGGATCAAAGCCCCAGCTAACTACCTGCTGGGAAGGAAAGAGCTAGACAGGGTCTCTCTTTTCTCAATCAACTGTACCACGGGAGCAGTAAGTGCTGTTCCCAGAGAAAGTGACAAAACATACATAGAACTGTTAGCTGTAGTCTTATCTTCAGCAAGGACCACTAGACAGATTGCTCTCTTTGTCATTTCTTTCTTCTCTCTCAGGACCTTAGGCTATCATTCCCCCATCCAACACTTACAGTGTCCTTTAGAGGTCTCTATGTGACCTAGAATGCAATCTCTGCCAACTGTCCTAAACTCATCCTTTCTCTGCTTCACACTCCAATGAAAAACCTAATTTACTATGGCTGTAAATAAAAATTGAGGCTTTGAGTTGAAAGTGCTTCTAACGTTGGGATAAATCCTAAAACAGATGCTGATTAAGTTGAAGTCACTCTCCACTTAACATAAAATGATACCCAGCTCCTTTTGGAGGAGGTTGGACAGGAGGGATGAAAAAGAACAATTTCTCCTTACTGGCTTTGGACTTCACTTGCTTGCTTACCTACTTTATCTGTCAATGATCTGCTGGGAAGCAAATCCCCTAGAATCAATCCAGTTTACAGACTGTTTTTCAAGTGGTTCAGTACTCAACAAAAGCAGAGTGTTGGAAACAGAGTGGCGACTATTCCTTGCCTTGTTGACACCATGAGAAACAAAAGGCTCATTTCTGGACATTTTACACTGCTCACCTTCCTTTTCTCCCGGAGCCTGGCTGCTTCCTTAGGATGGTTAAAGCGAAACATATTGGTCCTTCCCAAAAGTATCACAGCACCTAAGAACATACAAAAACAGTAAGAAACAGTAAACTGTTTGCTCAACTGGCAATATCACATAAGAAATTCTATAGTTGAAATGTAATTTTCAACATATTATAAAATAAGAGAAAGCTTTATTCTCAAAAAACAGCTTAAAGCATTGTCGTCGTGTCAATTCCAACTCATTGCAACCCCATGCATCAGAGTAGAACTGTGTGCCATTGGGTTATTTCTTGGATGTATACCGCCAATGCGCTTCTGGGTGGTCTCAAAAACCTCTAAAAGTCAAGTGCATTATTAACCATTTGCACACCCCAGGGGCTCCTTAATTCAGAGTACAGGGGTGTGGCATGCAACACCTTGCATTTTATTAGAGGTAAAAGGAGAGAGAAGTGGACAGAGAAGGGAGAACTACTACAACCAAGAAAGAAGAGCTGGGAGTGGAATACATCCTGTGGACCTGGGGTCCTGGCACTGGGAATCTCCTAGATCCAAGGAAAGATACAAGCCAAGATATTGGAGGTCTCTAAGGAATGCTAGGCCTACAAGGAATGCTGAAGAGAGACAAGGACTTTCCCTTCGAGCTGGTGCTCTGCATTTGGACTTGAGGCATTCCAAACTGAGAGAATACATTTCTGTTTGTTAAAGCCATCCGCTTGAGGCGTTTCTGTTACAGCAGTACTAGGTAACTAAGACAGATGATTCCAACATCCATTCCATCTTGGTATTAACATTTATTGATTACTGTCCCCCATGCAAGTAGTTCTTTATATGCCGAGTCACTGCATTTTATACTGAACATTCTGAACTTTGTTATGAGACTGTGGGTCCTGTTTAAATTCTTTGGAAAATGTTGATATTTTTGTATTAGCAGGCAATTGATCTGATAAAGTCTAATTTTCATCACCTTTCAGTTACTTGTATTATGGTGTGGTGGTTTGAATATTGCTGTCATTTTGGAAGCAAAACCAGTAGGATGACCCAACAGGTCTCAACAGCTTCCAGATTAAGACAGACGAGGTCATGTAGGGGCATGGTGGTGCTGGTGGTGGTGTGCAGTGGAGTCGGTTCCTACTCATAGCAACCCTGTATAGGGTTTCCAAGGCTGTAAATCTTTACAGGAGCAGAAAGCCTCATCTTTCTCTTGCAGAACAGCTGGTAGTTTTGAACTGCTGACCTTGAGGTTAGCCACCTTACTCATCACCAGAGCTCTGACACTACCAGAGTTCTAGAGGGTCCTTTATGACAAGGGCAGGAGTTCAAATTCACTTCTATGGAAAATGGGAAGTCTTTGGATAGATCTAGGTAAGGACATAGCATGAGGAAAACAAAAAGTGAGATGAGAAAGGTTGAAGAGAGAGTCACATGGTTGTCTCATGAAGTCTGGGGCAGCAACAAACTGACTTCAGTGGGATTGTGACAGGTCACTTCTCATATCCAAGTAGCATAAGAATCACCTGCCGGACTTGTAACAGTCAGATTGCTGGGTCCCACCCCCCAGTGTTTGGATGCAGTAGGTCTGGGATGGGGCCTGAATCTTACATATTAACAAACTCCAAGGTATGTTCATGCTGCTGATCCAAGGACCACATGTGGAGAACAACTGGCTGTATATAGTGGTTGTATTCCATCCAGTTGTTTCCAACTCACAGTGATGCTGAATCAGGTTTCCGAGGCTGTACAGTTTTCTGGGAGCAGAAAGCCTCATCTTTCTCCTGAGGATCAGCTGGTAACTGAAACTGCTGACCATTAGCTGATGACACCACCAAGGCTTCTTAGGACGTAGGCTTTAAAGTTACTGACGGTTTGGAAATTGAAAAATAACTGCTCAAACAGCTGATAAGCAAAGTACACGTGTCCATTTTTCAGGTCTCAAATCTGATTGAAAACATATAATGAGTGAGTGTGTCCTCAAAAACTCACTGCTGTCCACTCGATTCTGACTCAGTCATCCTAAAGGACAGAGTAGAACTGTTCCATAGTGCTTCTGACGCTGTACATCTTTAAGGAAGCTGACTGTCTCATCATTCTCCCAAGAAGCGGTTGGTGGGTTTGAACTGCTGGCCTTTTGGTTACCAGCCCAACATTTAATCTAATGTGACACCGGTGCTCCTTGAGGGAGTGCTTACAGGTGTTTAAAATAATCAAAATTAAAAAAAAAAAAAAAGGAACACAAAGTTTATTCTGAGCAAGACCTGATTACAGAGAAAAGGTCGAAAAATAAATTATCAATCACTGACTAATTTTAACATGCTTGATTGAGGCTCGCCCTCCCCTTTTTACTGAGATCAATTGAGATCAGGTTATTTCTGACCTGGCTACTAATAATTCAACCCTCCACCCACCTGCAACCCTGAGACTATTGTTAAGTGGCATTGAGTGGATTCCGACCCACAGTGACCCTGTATAGGGTGTCTGAGGAACCTTCTGGTTCACAGTCCAGTGCTGATCCTACAGTGCCATACCAGAAGTCCTCAACCCTGAGACCAAGAGAGTTTAATGAAAAGAGGTTAGCCTTTCTCATTAATTCATAAAGGTGTTGTGACTATCCTTTTTTAGCAGAAAGAGACAAATTTACATTTCTATAGATCAGTCTCTGGCAGGCTTTTAGAGTTTAGGGAAAGCTTTAGCTGATTAATATTTGGTAACATTGATAAGAAAAATCTTAAAATTGAAGATGTCTATTATTAATTTTTCTCTTTAACATTTGCAAGAACAGGCAATGTGGGGGAAGAGGCAATATGGCTTTTTGTAGTTCATTAAAGAGCTCTTCTGTTCACAGACTACTTGGCGAACCTACTGAAAGATCTTTCCTTTTCTATTCCCACTAAAATTCCTTTTTTATTTGTCAATGAACAAATTCCTTTTTAACCTGCCACTGAATCACTTACAGCAGCCCTCCAGCAGATGAAAATTTTATCAGATTTTTCAGCTACCCAAACAATCACCTGCTCTTTGTTTCTTAGTGTTTGAATAGATGCAAATATATTTTGTCATTCAAGTGTGACATATTCGAATGCATCTAAGTGTAAATTTCCCAGATGCAGTTTCTGCAGCATTTCTAAAAGGAGAGACAAATGTTCAACAGATTTGGCACACTTGCAAGAATACCAAAAAGGTCCATTGATATGGATGAAAAAATCAATTACATTGAACAATTAGCGCTAAAATCACATACTACAGACAAAAGGCCTTGTGTGCTGCTGCAGGATAAACACTGGAAGTCAAAGTCAGTTTGAACCTCAAGGTTGGCAGTTCAAACTCACCAGCTGTTCCACAGAAACCTGATACAGGGACGCTATGAGTTAGAACCTTCCACCTCGAAAAACTTAACATAGTCCAAAAAAAAGTTATTAAAACAAGAAAGACATACGTTGTATGACTCCATATAACAAGAAACAGCAATTACAGAGTCCTGGTATGGTGCTGTGGGTCAATACGCCAGACTGCAAAGCCATTAGAACTGCAATGTTGGCAGTTCAAGCTCACCAGCTGCTCCTCGAAAACCCTATACAGGGTCGTTAAGGGTCAGAACCGACTCCATGGCACTTCACAACAACAGCATAGAAACTAAAATTTATTTGTGAGTCCCGGAAGTGGGAGGACAGGAAAGAGGTGATTATTATTTACGGAGTACAGTTGTTGTTAAGTGCCTTCGAGTTGGATACAACTCATTGCAATCCTGTACAGGGTTTCCGAAGAGTGGCTGGTGACTTTGAACCACCAACCTTGAGGTTCAAACCACCCTTGTGGTCCAGTGCTTATCCTGCATCGCCACACCAGGAATTTCAGTTAATGGTGATGGAGAATCATACTGATGAAGGGTAGGCTTGCAAAGATGATTACTACAATAAGTTCTACACCGGTACTAAGTTTAAGTGACAAAAGTCATGTGATAGACGACAGGATTTCAAAAAGTTTGTGGAAGAATGGATCTAAATGTTAATGAAATTACTTCTAGGACTTTTGAAGTCCTCTCACATTTACCAGAGCAAATGCAAATGAGTAGCTGCTGGCGCGGCTTAAGTACAAACGCCTTAGAGATTTGGTTCCTTGGCTTGGAGGCTTAGGCTCAAAGATGTCACTGGAAAAAATGAGTCAATCGGCCTATACATGTGTAGTGTTTCTGTTCTACTAGGATCTTGCATAGCACCTGTGTTTGCAAAGCTGACAAACCGCTATCCAAGACACAACAAATGGTCTCTATTCACCTGCATCATCAGTAATAATCCGGAAACTAGCAGTGAAGAGATAGAAGTAGGAAGCTGCTGAGAACCTGGAATCCAGCAGCATTCAGAGTTAATGTGGTCAGACATCACCACGACTTGAGTTACCATTCAATATGGATTTGCTGTACTTCAAACCTTTTATACTTTTACAAAATGGAATTGTTTGCTTAGCTCTGCTTCAGTAAAGTTTCTGTTTTGCTTGTCATGAATCCAACTATTGGGATAAGTACCAGTGAAGTCCACTGGGATGACCAAGAGACAATAGGTCCAATAACTATTCCAATAAACCAGACAATGGGGGTATAAATGTGGGAGACAAGGATTATCTAGACTCCAAAATTCTAAATAAACCTTAGGGGTGTAGGCCCATGCCTGGTTGGAAGAGCTAATGAGGAGATGGAATAGTGTCCATATATTAAGTTTATTAAGAATGAGCACATGAGTGATAATGGTGTGCTCTTCATCTTTTGTGGACTGATCTGATCAACTATAGCATTCCTCCACTCTCACCCCCACCCCACCCAGACCCATCTCCAAAAGACTCGCCTGCCACTTGTTAATTCAAAGTAATTGACTTTGTAGACATCAACTGAGAGAGGGCAGGGTGGTGCTAAAAAATTATACATGGTTTATTTAAAAGAAATATTTCATGGAGCAGTGACACCAGAGATGGAGGCAGAGATGGGGACATGGAGACAGGATGCAGCTGAGGACTCTAGATTCATGGAAAGAGAGGAACTAAGAGATGGCAGCCAGAAGACAGACTTGCGGAATATGCCCTCTGGTGG